TGAAATATTGCATTTGAAATATTTCATTCACATTGCTGCTAGTGTGAAACCCCTATCACTGAAATCTACTTTTTTCTCTCTCTCACACTATTTCTACATTATTTTTTGTTTTGTTGAAAATCTCCGGTAATGTTCAATGTTTCTATTTTGAATTTCTTGTCACATTTTTTCCATTTTTGTTGTTAGTTCCACTTGCATACAGAGCGTATAATAAGGTATCCTTGAAGATCAAAAATGTCTGCTATTTTTTTCTTAAAATAACCATTTACCTGATAGGATTAAGGTGAAAAAAACAGAAATTTTTTTATTTTTGGCAAAAAATGAATGATTTATGCTTCTATGAAATGAAACAAATTTGTCTTATTGTCACCCTAAATATTAACAAAATTAACATTTTTTTTCTGTTTTTGGTATATTTTTGTACAATGTACCAGATTCGAATATCGATATTTTCTCTTGTTCGTTCTGGATGATTGAAAATCCTATTTTTTCCTTTTTTCCTTGAATAATTATCATTTTGTGTCAATTATCGGTTGGGGAAAAAATCTAATTTTTTTCTTTCTTCGATTAATGATAGTTAATGTAAAATGATTGATTGATTGATGTTTTTTGTTGTTAAATTTTAAAATTTTTTAAATGGTAATTATCGATTAGAATGGGCTACTAAATCCTAATCTTTTTTTTACAATTTTGAAAGAAATATCCATTGTATGAGTCATTGATTGAATGAAAAACACAGAGAAATTATCATCATTGTTGAATGGTTGTCCTAGTGATTGTTGTTGATGATGATGGTTGTTGGCTATTTTGATTTCTCACATAGATGATGTTAATGTCTTTTTTCCTATGTGATGTGTGTGTGTGTGTATTGCGATGTAGTGTATTACTTACTTACTGTTACCGATGGTGATTGCAATTGATGCGATCAACCAGAAACATACAGAGAAATAGACAAATCTATCGACAACGAAAGCATCAATTAATTGAATGTTTTTTGTTTTTATTTACAAAATTCAAGAATTTTAATTTTTCTTTTTTTTTCAGTTTTGATTTGATCAAATTCATTCAATAATAATGTCTTCGACAATGACAACAGTGCCGGTAAATTCTTCAAATACCACATCATCATCATCATCTTCATCATCATCGAATAATATCCGTCATCATAGTAGTAGTAGTGGTGGTGGTATGAATAATTTTAATCATCATCATCATCATCATAATGATCAACAGAATGCCATAAATAAACAAAGCAATAATAATAATAATATTGGTTTACGAAATTCTTCAACAATGATGACAAATTCAAATCATCATAATCAACATAATTCAAATAATCAACAACAACAACAACAAATTGTACCATTTACTAATTTAACAAATAATCATCAACAAAATTTAATTGAAATTAAAAGCAAAGTATGGATTTTGATTGGAATTTTAATTTTTTTTTAATTTTTTTCCCTCTTTTCATTAGTTTGATGCTGAATTTCGTCGTTTTTCCATTCAACGTACCGAAATTACAAATTTAGAAGATTTTGTTAAATTAATTGAACATTTTCATAATCTTTTTACAATACCATTTTGTTTATTTTATACTGATCCAATACATGGTGATTTATTACCAATTAATAATGATAAAAATTTTGCATTAGCAATAGCATCAGCTAAACCATTATTACGTTTAATCGTACAAAGAAAAGGTAAATTGAATATGGGAAAAAACTTTTATTTATTTAAAAACATTGCTAATCTCTTTATATCTTTATCTCTGTTTTTTTTTCTCAGGCGAAAGTATCGATTATCTAAATAATTATGGGAAAAAGAAAAATTTTTTAGGAAATATTTTACCATCATCAGTATCATCATCATCATCAGCTAAAAATCGTTTAGCTATATCGGCACCGGAAGATTTTCGTCAAGTTTCATCAATTATTGATGTTGATATTGTACCGGATACATGTCGTCGTGTTCGTTTAGTAAAACATGGTTCAGATAAACCGCTTGGTTTTTATATTCGTGATGGTAGCTCATTTCGTATTACTGAACATGGTTTTGAAAAAGTTCCTGGAATATTTATTTCACGTTTAGTTCCTGGTGGTTTAGCCGAAAGTACCGGATTATTAGCTGTTAATGATGAAGTATTAGAAGTAAATGGTATTGAAGTTAATGGTAAATCATTAGATCAGGTTACAGATATGATGGTTGCAAATTCTTCAAATCTAATTATTACTATTCGTCCGGCCAATCAAAGAGCACATGCAGCTGGCCATCATAATACACTTTCTTCTTCGTATTCATCAAATACGATTTCAAATTATCCACATCATCATCATCCTAACCATCCTAATCAACTCCATCATCATCAACATCATCCAACAGGATCAACAGCAGCATCTTTAGGAATAAATCAATCGATGACAATCGATACAAGACATCCACAACATCATTATCTTAATCATCAATATTATAATCATCCACATTATCATGGAACAAATAATTCAAATGTTTCACATCATTATACAAATAGTTTAGAACGATCTGGACATCGTTCAAAAGTATCACAAGTAGATTATTATGGTAATATGTATAATGGTCCTAGTACGAGTAATACTACTAATAATAATAATCGAAAACCCGATCAACCGCATCAATTTTTATCATCAGCATCGGCCGCTGCGGCTGCAACGACAACAACAGCAACAACGTTTCGTCCACATGCTTCAACATCATCAGCTTATCAATTACATGCTCATTCAAATTATTCACATCATCCGCATCAACATCATCAACGAACACATTCAACGGGTATGATTCAAGTGATTGAAAATGATGATGACAACGTTGATGATGATGATGATGATGATGATGAAGATGAAGTACGAGATCATTTTAATGCTGAATCAACAATAAATTCTTCGACAGCTAATAATAATAATAATAATGTAACTATAACGACAATTGCTACAGCTATAACTACATCAACGCCACAAATATTTACAACAAACGTATATACATTATCATCTAATCCTACAATGGTCGAATGTATTACGATTGGTCCATCAACATCGACATCAAAATCATTGAATAATAATAATAATAATATCACTAATGGAATCAATATTGGCCATCAATCACCATCACCTTATGTTAGAAAACGAAATAATTCAGATGTCAATAATACAACGACGACAATGTCGATTAGTAATCAACAACAACAAACACCACAACATTACTATTTCAATAACAACACTAATGGTACTCATCAACAACAAACTGCCAACAACAATAACAATAATCTAACATCGACGACGCAATCAACAAACAACGATTCTGATATAGTTACATTATGAAATTGATTGAAAGATTTTTTTGGCCGCTTAATTATCAAAAGAAATCATATGTTGTTAATGTTTTTTTTTCATCTTTTTTCTCTATTTTTTTTCCTCATCTTGATCTGTATTTTTATGGATTAGATTGATCCAAATTGCTCATTTTCACATACCTGTTTGCCTTTGCACTCACACACACACAGACATTCAACAGGAGATTTTTGAATTTTTTTCAAATTCTATTCATTCCATTGATAAACAGAAGACTTTTTTTTCTCTTTTTATGAGCCTTTCATTCATTTGAAATATACCAAAAAGAAAAAAATTTTTTTCACTCAATTTTTGTATATTTAAATAATGCGAATAAAATCAAATATCAATTCTTTGGTCTTGATCGACCACTAACAAACAATCGATAGAATCGATGGCTAAAATTTAAAGCGGGAAATTTGAAAAATGATTTATTTGAAAAAATTATTTTCATTACCACTAGGGTGTAGCACTTGACAATTTTTTTTTTTTTTTTGAAAATCTTATTGGATATCCAAAATCGTAAAGATTTTAAAATCGTAAATTTTATTAAAATAATTAAAAAAAAATCTGGATCACAATAGAGATCTTTATTAGCACAGAAAAATCTTCCATTTAATCCAAATGTAATATAATCCTTGTATCAAGTAAACATCGTCAATGATGATAATGACAAAGTTGATGATCCTTTTTTATTTACGATGATGCGTCAAAAAAATAAACAGAAAATCCATATTGTATCGAATCAATCGATTTTTTTTTCGACATCATCATCATCATATCTTAAGCAATGAAAATAACAAATCCAAAAAATGTTGACTCTTTTTTTTTTATTTTTTTTCGATGACATCGAATAAAATTAAAATGAAAAAAAAGAAGATAATGTACACATTGCGATCATTGTATTGTCGATATAATAATGATGATGATGATGATATAGGAGATTATCCTCGAAAGTGATATGGAAAAAAATTTATTGTTAAAAAAAAAAATATTGATGATATTGGTAAGCACGAACAACAAACAAAACAAATGATGATCTTGGTGTTAAAAAGGAAAAAAAGGCTGAAATTTTTTCATCATGAAACAGATGTTTGTTTGGAAAATGAACTCATTTTGCTGTTGCTGTTGTTGTTGTTGCTGTTGCTAACCAAATTGATGATGTTTAATAAAAAAGTGACATATTTTAAATAATGTTTTGTCACAAATATTTTATTTATTTGACTTGTAAACATCACAACAAAAGATGATGAGATGATGACAATGATTTTGACATAATAATCCACATCAATCAGTTTTTCAACAAAACAGAAAAAAAGAAAAAGAAAAAAGTATCTTTTCTTTTCTTTTCTCTGATTTAATGATAATCTTAAACCAATATTTGTCACAATGATGATGATCATAATCCATTGATCATCTGTGGATCTGTGAAAAAATTTTGTTTCTTTTTGTCCAAAGTGAAAGTATTACTCGTCAACATCGCATCATCATCATTTAGAAAGTTTTTCTTTTCTGGATTTGAAGAAGAAACAACAACAACAAAATATTTCTTGTTTGTTTGCTTAGTTCGGGTGTTTNTTTAAAGCGGGAAATTTGAAAAATGATTTTTTTGAAAAAATTTTTTTCATTACCCCTAGGGTGTAGCACTTGACAATTTTTTTTTTTTTTTTTTTTGAAAATCTTATTGGATAATCATCATTATCGTAAAGATTTTAAAATCGTAAAATTTTATTAAGAAAAATTAAAAAAAAAATCTGGATCACAATAGAGATCATCATCATCTTTATTAGCCAAAAAAAAAAAAAAAAAATCTTCCATTTAATCCAAATGCAATATAATCCTTGTAAAAAGTATCTATCAAGAAAACATTGTAAA